CCGAAACCCCGGCACCGAACAGAAAAATCAAAGCCAGGGGTCTGGAGAGTAAAGAGAACCGAATTAAAAGTCAACCGCTGCGTATCCAGCCTCGGTTGTGCCTTCCAGAAACACAGCCCCCCACCTTGCCGCGTGCTCGCACGCGCTTTTAGCTGTCTTTCTGATTAAACCCGTGCCCTGCGAGGAAGTGTAAGCCCAGCACGTTCAGTTTGCGATTCCGCGACGTGCTCGGAGGTGTAAACTCCACATTCCGTGTCCCTCGTGAGTTCTCTGGTGCACTCGGTTGTTTATTTGGTGTTTGCACGTTTGTGGTCTGTACATAGAAGGTGTTTTTGGTTTACATCAGGAGGGTACGTTGGCATCTGTCTGGTGCTAGACTGGTGAATAGGAAGAAGGTCCCATCTCTGGCCCGCTTGTGGAAGCTGGGATGATGAAGGCACTGCAGTGGGAACGTGCGGTGGTGCAGGGCTGACGCTCCAGCCCGTGCCTGGTAGCTGTAGAGCAATTGGAAGGGTTACGTGCAGAGTTCTGGTGAAGTAAGTGTGAGCAGTGTGCAAGCGGGGGATGCCAACAGGGGTGCATGTTTCCAAAGTCTTCCTCAGCCTAAAAACGGGGCAGGGGAGGGGCAGCTGTGGGTCTTAGGGCAGTGGTTTGGTGGAGGAGTCTCACCTGTGTTTTTCTCCCTCTGGAAGACTGGCTTGCTAGTGAGATTGCATGAAAGCTTCAGCTCTTCCACCGTTTCTCCTTTCCTCCACCTCCTTGTAACTTCATCGCACTTCAGCCTTTCACGCCAGGAGTTTCGAGGCCTGATGTCTGCTCAAGCACGGAGATTTCTGGATGGGGAGGTGGATTCTAAGAGAGTTTGACAAAAACAGCGCAGTCGTCTTTTTGAGAATCAAAAAGAGCTTTATTTTTGACTCGCACACTGGGTGAACTGGGGATTTGCAAACTAGTCTGGGTGTTAGAATCTGGAAGTGGGGTTGCTGCCTTTCAGAACTTACACCCTTAAATAAGAAAGCTGGTAGGAGAATTTTTGTTTGAATTGGCATCTTTCTGTTTCACTCCTGAAGTTTGCCCTGGAATCCAAGGGATTCTTGGACAATGACCGTGTTTATTTGGAAAATGCATGTGATTATTAGGCGGGACTTTATGTTTTTTACAGGACGAAGTTCACTTTGATATCAGTTTTTCATGTGGAAGCTGAGCAAATAAGGGCGCATTTTAAAAACAAAAAAAATGAACAACCAAACAAACCCCCCCAAAATCCCAAACTTGACATTCCAAACAAAAAAAAACCCACCTGGATTCAGGTGCTGCTCAATCACCAAGAAGGCGTGAAATGAAAAAGTCACGTAAATACGCGTTACGTACGTAGGGCCTCGCTGCGGGCAGTGTACTTAATAATTAATTAGGCTCAGGAAAGAAAGCAGAGGAAGGAAGGGAAGAGTCTTGTCCCATCAGATTCCAGTTGAATCCCAGCAATGTAAATCCAGGGTGATTCAGTCAGGCAGCTGGCAGGCTGACTGCGTGCCACCGAGGCAAGGTAAATAATTCACCCTCAAGTGCGTTTGTTGGTGGATTTGGAGGGAGTCAGGCAGGAATACTTGGCTTTGCTGTTGTGTGAGCGATTCGTAAACCCAAAATTATCAGGTAATTTGATTCATTTGAATATATAGAGGAAAATTATCTCTGCGTTTTGGCTCGCGCGCAGCAATTCCACATGTATTTATTCTGCCCTAATATGCTTCGGGAAAGTGAGTGCTTCATGCCACGCTCCTCTCCCTGGATTGAGATAAGCCATTCACAAACCATGTTTGCTCCTTAATTCAGCTACTGCCACATCCTCATGGAAGCAGGAGTGGGACAATTCGCAGGTAGCTGCACGAGAAACCTACAGCAGCTCGCTCTGCCAGATGTTCTCTGGGCATGGTTTTTGTCACGTTTATTTTACCTGCCGGTTTTGCCACGTTTGGGCAGGAATAGGTGCATCTTCTGCTGCAGGTCACGTGCTTTTGTTGATTTCTTTAGGTTTTGAGCAGCGTTTTGGTGAGCACTGACAAAGTTTGTCCGCTGTTACACGGAGGGATGTAAGGGTTAGAACGGAAAGGGCTTCTTCAGCCAGGTGTTCCTATAGAGATTACGCCTCTGTCTTCAGAGGGTTGTCTTTTGGGGCTCTGACTGGTCCCCTCTGTCTTCAGAGGGTTGTCTTTTGGGGCTCTGACTGGTCCTCGGACCACGTGGAAGGTTGAGATGGAGCAGTAGGCACTTGGCTGGAGACAGAGTCCTGCAGAATCCTGTCCCAAGGACTTGAATGAGGCGGGCAATGGAGAGCCGTGCCCCGATCTTGCTCAGAAAGAGAGTATCTCAGGAGCAGGGCAGTCAGGTTCTTTTCCCAGTGCCTGGTCTCATGGGATGAGAGCAGAGGATCTTGTCTTTCAGGAATATCGAGTGATATTTCCGGGTTTGGTCAGAGCAGTGGGCAGCAGGAAGTTAGGAGCCCCAAGCTTGACTTCTTGGTCTGCTGTGGCTGTCTGTTATCTTGGGCAAGTCTGTTTCCCTCTCTCTCTGCCTGTCTTTCTTCCTGTGTAACACAGCGCTGATGTCTCCTTGCTGCATCGGGGTCCTTAGTGTTGAGGGGGGGCGTGGAGGGACAGGCAAGGTCCAAAATTTTCACTGCTGTGGGGTCAGACTGGCTACGACAGTGAAAAATGGTTTTCAGCCGTGTTTGTCTGGTTGCAAGATGCACAGACTTCATCGTTGACGCCACGTACTGGGGTGGATGGTGTAACTGGGGAGTCTCAGAGGTGTTCTGGGTTTGTAGTCAGTCCTTTCTTTGCATGGAGGACCATTGGGCAAGGGGCTTTTGAGATGGCCCCAAGCCTAGGGGAATAGCAGACACCTCCTTTTCCCCGAAAATATTTTTTTTTAATTTGGGCAGATAGCTCAGAAGTGGGGAGAAGTTGCTCAAGTAAGACAGGGGAGATTAAGGAACTGTCACAGCGTTAGACTGAGTCAGTTCCATGTTGGAGCCTCTTTGGGTTTAATGTTCTTTTTGTGTGTGTGTGTCTGTCTGTCTGCCTTCCTTCTCCTCCACTCCTCTTCCCTTCCCCCTTCCTCTTCCCCCCTGTGCCCAGCTAGGATGGAAGAATCTCATTTCAACTCCTCCCCGTACTTCTGGCCAGCAGTGCCGACCGTCTCGGGACAGGTAAGATCTTTGTCTTCCAACCTGGTCCACTGGTCTCGCTTTTTGGTAGAAGTTCGTGCATGACAAAACGTTTCTCTTGCATTTCTTGCTCAGCCAACTGCTGGGAGAAGCTGCGCCGGGGGATTCTAAAAACTGTTCTTCCCACCCGTTTAGATTGAGAACACCATGTTTATTAACAAGATGAAGGAGCAGCTATTGCCCACAGAGAAGGGCTGCAGCCTGGCTCCCCCCCACTACCCTGCCTTGCTGACAGTGCCCACCTCTGTGGCCCTGCCCACTGGTATCTCCATGGACTCGGACACCAAGCCGGAGCAGCTGACACCACACAGCCAAGCCCCCGTGACTCAGAACATCACCGTGGTACCAGTGCAGTCTGCTGGGCTCATGACAGCAGGTAGGGGACTCCAAAGACTTTGGCAGCAGATGAAGGGGTGGCGGAGGGCCCTGGAGGATCCTTTTGAGGCTCTAGATTATTCCTGGTCTTCCTAATGGTGTAATGGACTGCCTTGGTGTGGTTTCACTGTCCATCTCTAGGTGCTCCCTATATTTCTTCTCTTTATGGAAGTTTGACTTCCAGTAGTGGAGACTGGGAACGCGTAGGCTACTCTTCTGTTTGGGTTGTAGTCAAAAGTTAGGTGTGTAAAGCTTGATTCAGGGAGAGAAAGAAGTTGGATGTAGTCAGGTACATAATAACTGACTTCCTCCTTCTTTCTTTCCTTCTTTCTTTGCAGGTCCTGGTCTGGTGATAACTTCCCCATCAGGTTCCCTGGTGACTACGGCCTCCTCTGCCCAAACCTTTCCCATCTCAGCTCCCATGATTGTCTCTGCGCTACCGCCTGGCTCCCAGGCAGCCCTCCAGGTGGTTCCTGACCTGTCCAAGAAAGGGACAACCACCCTCTCTGAAGGTGCTGGGGGCGGCGGGGGTGGGGGAGTTGCTCCCAAACCACCCCGGGGTCGGAAGAAGAAACGATTGCAGGAGTCGGGGCTGCCGGAGATGAGCGACCCCTTTGTGCTGTCAAACGAGGATGATGAGGACCAGCACAAGGATGGCAAGACGTACAGGTGGGGAGCGGGGTCAAACTTCGGCTCTAAAGTTGCATGGGGATGGGAGTGTGTTTAACCCTTCAGAGGATTACGTGGGGAAGAAGGGATCTCTGCCTTTTCCCTCTGGAGTCCCTGGGTAGAGAATCTTTCAGCTACAGAAGGAGTTGAGTTTGCTCTCTACTCAGGAACATTTGCAAGCTGGTGGGTTGACCCAAAACTAAGGATCTCCTTAGTGGACAACCTCAATTTCCTGAATATACAGATGTTAATGGTACGAGGTTGGTTAATGACCAGGGTGTTACGGAGGCTGAACCACGTCCTCGGTGCCACAGCCGGGTAGTCTGGCTGGTGTCCTGCAGAATGCAGCACTGCCTGGTGCACCCGGGGCACTCTGGTGTACCACCTGGGTGCCCCGAATTAGGACTCCAGTCCGTCCAGTGTAAAGACTACAGAGTGGAGGCACACAGAGCGGGAAGTGAACTGTGGTGATGGTGTCTGCTCCTGTGTGCGTTGCCCCGTGTGATCTCCTCCTGTTTCAGCATTCCCAGCAAAACAGGATGAAAAAAATGTATTTCTGAATTAGGTATGAGTGTGTTTCTGAGCCCTGAGGGCATCAGGTAAGAAGGGGGAAGAGTTCTGAGCCCTGAGGTTGGGTTTCTGAGCTTGGAGGGATGTGGCTTGAGTTTACAAGTGAGTGGTGGGAAGGGGAGAGATTAAGTAGGAGGCAGTGCTTAAACCAGAGGAGGAGGAGTGTGGGTGTTTTAGAGAAGGTGGGAACTGGACAGAGCAGGCAAGTGCTAGGGAGGAAACGTGATGGTCTGTCTTAGTTGGGAAGCAGGAGTACGTATTTACTACAGGGTGGTTTAGTGATGGAAGTTCTGAGGGATGATCAGGATCCATAAGAGGCCAAGTAGCAGCCAGATGGAACCAGAACTAGAAGGTGTTTCCTGGTTGTTCTCACTTCCCTGCTGTGTGTGCACGATCCTGTCTCAAACAGTTTCCCTTCAACCCTCCTAGACCCTCTTTTTTTGTACAGATTTAGTTACGTTTCTGAAGCGAAGTCTCAACAACTCGAAGGCATCTGCACAGTGTGTCCACCCCAGGCACTGTTTCCTTTTTAACTGTAGCATTTAAAAAATGTTCACTTTTTTTTAAATCAATACAGTTAAATGGGTACCAAACCAGAGCTTGGATCAGCCTTTTTGTTCTCTTACCCACTGTCCCCGTTCTTCCACTTGGAAAACACGATCAGCGTTTGGCGGAGAGGGGTGGGAGTGTTAGGTAGCTTGCTATTTGTAATCTCACCATTTATTTTGGGCCTTCGCCACAATTCCACACTACTCAAGCTGCTTACAGTCTGGGTTGCTAATTAGGTTGTTAAATATGTATTTACAGGGGACACAATTGGCAGCGAGCACTAGAATTAAAGCTGAACCAAGGCTTTAATTATAGCTCCTTGTTTACTTGTAAGTTTGGGGAAAAATGCCCAAGACCAGGTGGAGTGACTCAGCAGAAACTTTATGACCACGCGTAGTCTGTGTAACAGCTCGTGAAAAAGGCTTCGCAGGAAAAAAACGAAGGAGTTTATATGTGGGAACATGTAATCAGGAAGATTTCCTGTCTTCATCTTTAATCCCAGTGTGGTATCTCTTCCTGTTTCTCCAGCCTCCGTCCCAAGCAGGCCTTCCTCTGAGCAGAGCTAAGGTGCAAGATAGCTAACTTGAGATTTGTTGAAGACCATCCCTCCTCGGGATCTTCTCTTTGGCTCGTGCTTTCCATGTGCAAGTTTGGAACTGAAAATACTTGTTGGGAAAAAAAAAAATAAAAGGAAAATGCTATCTTCTCTTGGAGCTGTGGGAGAGAAGACCCTTGTGAAACACAGTAAAATCGTTTCTCCGTAATATCCATGTGAACAGGCGTGCAAGTTCAGACTTTGAGGACTCTTGGGTTCCTTCTGCATTCTAGAGAAGGATTTGGATAGCTCTCGTTACTGCAGCACATAGTCGTATCCCAGCTGAATTAAGGCAGTGGGTGAGGTGTATCTACTCCTGCTCCCTTCTGAGGCTGGAGGAGGAGTTGCTCGTGGTGTTCATACGTCTACGTTTGGGTGGTTCCACTGATTGCAGTGATGGTACACTGAGGTCAATCTAGTCAGGTGCCTGAAAGGAGCTGTACTGCGTTGATCAATGTGGCTTTTTTTTTTTTTAATAGCTAATTCCTAAAGCCTGGGATTATTTTGTCAAATTTAATTGGTTTTAAGTTTCTTTTTGAGCTCTCTTATCCCGAGCGCATGGACGGGTGCCTGATTTCCCTAATTCCTGACTCCTAGTGTGTTGGTGAAGGCAGAGTGAGCCCAGCAAGGCAGACTGGGAAGCAGTTGGAGCACGAAGGTGATGCTCCTATTGCAGCTCATCCAGTTCTCTACTGAACGCAGAGATTCCAGCTGTTTTGCTGCTGTGTCATCTCTAGAAGTGAATTAGTAAGTCTGCCGTGAAAGTGGTGTGAGAATCTTTGTGACCAGGTTTTTCTTTGTCAGAAAAGGTGTGAGGCTTTTGCTAATGACGGTGTTCCTTGCAGACCTTGGACGTTTAGCCTGAGGATTAGTCTGGCAGAGCCCTTGGTGCTTTGCTTTGTGCTATTAGAAGAATGCTCACACCTGCAGGGGACAGCGTCTGTCCCAGTCCTGTGAAGCGTTTTCCTTCATGAGTAATGTCACCTCAGTCGTGTCTGGATTAGTTGTCTGCTCTTTGTTAATCTTCCCTGACATCTTTGTAGAATTTACTTTTTCTGTGCAAAACGAGATCGGCATCAAGATGCTGGCAGTGTGGAGCACGTGGCCTCTTCTCAGCACTTTGAAAGGTTCTGAGGACGAGGGAGTGAGCACAGGTCCTGGAGACAGTAGTATTGTTTCTTAGTACTGGTTTGGTGCCTGTACCTGGGCACTTTTAGAAGTTTGTGACGTGATCAGCGAACAAGACTGATGAAGTGTTTCAGCCTGTCTGGGCCAGGTGATTGATTCTGTCTCTGACAAACAGTTCTCTAAATAGTTTCCTCTTTGTAAGCGGAGGAGAACTCTTTATAGGTGTAGCTTGGGTCCAGTATGAAGCTTGTCAAGGCTAGGGCGAGTACCAGTTGATAGGCTGGAATGGTTTTGCAAGCCGTGTTTTGGAGCCTAGGACACCAACAGAAAAGTTGTGGGCTTGAGGAGGGTCTTGCTGCCATGCTGTAACCAACAAGCTCTCTGTTCCCCATCGCCGGCTTTGAGTTGCCCTACTTTCACCAGCTGTGGGAACAGCAGGGAGATATTAAGGAGCTGAGAGACGTAGGAGGCTTCGGAGTTAAGCCCAGGGTGAAAAAGTGGGCAGAAGCCTTAGAAGTCTTGGCAGGAAGCAGAGTTGAAGAGTGCAGAGAAGCTGGATGGAGGCCTTTAGTGGGGAAATCGGGGACACAAGGGGAGCCAGGGGTTTCAATACTGCAGGTGGGTACGTTCTCAGACACATCTTGTTTTAAGCCTTCTTTTCTGCCCTGTGCTGGATTTAGCATCGCTGTTTGGTGAACTTCCCATGATTTTGAGTAGGTTTGAAATATGGTGGCTTTTGTAAGCCGCATATATCTGTGAAACTATGGTCAAATTTGGCCCAGTTGTATTGGAAAAAATACTTGGAAGAAGTCTGCCAAGCATGCTCTGAGATGGTTTATAGTTTGGTAGTTGAAATATGTGAAGATCATGTCTTTTTTGATGTTTCTTGAGGCTTGCATGACTCAGTAGTGAGGATAAGAATGAGATATGGACAGGACCTGGAGCTGATTGTGTCCGGGAAGTCTGGAAACTTGGCAGAGCAGATACAGGAATCGAAAAGGAGGAGAGAGAAAAGAGAAGAGCCTACAAACTAGGGAACACAGCAGGGGATGTGATGGGGAGTCTATTTGCACAGAGATAAGCTATGAAAGACCAAGACCGAGGGGAGGAAGAAAGAGGCAGATCTGCTAGGGACTGGAAAATGAGGAGGGAACCTAGAATTAATGGAACAGATGGAGACAAGAGCATGGGATGTGGACAGACAAATAGAAGCATGGAGGAGAGGAGGCAGATGTTGGGTGACTGGGAGAACAGAATAGGGAAGAGCTACCGCAGTGGAGGATGAGGAGGCTGGGCAGGGGAGTAAAGAGCTGGTAGGAGGGTTGGCACCTGGGTCGTGGTGCAGGGGAGAGGGCATTGCAAGAGGCTGGAACGCCAAGGGCAGAGGGGGGGATTCAGTTCGAAGTGTCAGGCAGGAACTTTGACCACATTCCCTCCAAAGCCCAGAAATATTTGACCCAATATTCCTAAAATTTTGCTGTGTCTCTAATATCAGCACAAGGATGTGACCTCCTCTGGCAAAGAACCTCACCCCCTTCCAAGGGCAGGAGAAGGTGACAAACGGCCGTTGCTGGCGTTTCCCGTCCTGGCCGCGGTGGCAGAGGGCTGTGCGGTGGAACTTAAGATTGCTGATGACCAACGTGGGTGTCAGCGTGATGCCACATGTTGGAATTTCTGTTTGCTTTCTTTAACAAGTAGTTCCGTGAGCAGCGGAACTAATGAAGCCTGGTTTCCAGCGGCTCTCTCCTGTGTGGATTCTCTGATGTCTAATCAAGGGTGAGCTTACTGGCCTTTCCCTCAGCAGGGGGTTCCAAGAGGGTCTCTCTGCTTTCCCCAGCTGCGTATTTTTGAGACTTGTGGTGACTTTAAGACCCCTTACCCTTTTTCCAGATTTGGTTGAAATTGGCTTATGATCTCAAAACGCTAAGGAGGACAGGTGCACACGCACATCCATGTAGACACACGCAGTTCGTACACGTAGGCTTTGCTTTTGTGTTGTGAGTGCTGTGCCTGGAGGTTAGGAAATGTCAGAATTAAGGCTGACCACGTGCCTCAGGACAGAATAAGGTAAAAACTTGCGTTATGGTAAGTTCTCTCCCCTCTGCTGAGATGATGTAACTGTGTGTGCGTGTGCTCTTGGTTCATCGTAGTGCCAAGC